TCGTGCATATTGCCGCCGGGCGTATAACTTTTCTCTTGCCGTCGTGCGTATTGCCGCCGGACGTATAACGTTGCCGTCGTGCATATTACCGCCGGGTGTATTACCCCTTTTGCCGTGGTCCGTCATCCTCGTGTGCGTGGCTTGTCGTCTCCACATCGCCATTCAAGCCATCGGCAGTGTCATCGTCGTCGAGGTTGGTCGCGTCCAGTGAGCTTCCGAAGTCGTCAACATCTGTCGGTCTTGGTGGCTGTCGCACGTGCTGTGTGCACGGTCGCGTGGGCGCAACCACACAGACCATAAGACCGACCGAGGTATTTATGTTCGAAACCGGTGACACGTAGCGTGACCTAACTCGGGTGTTGTTCATAATAATTATTGTTAACTTTTTTTTATTCATATTTTTTATTATTATTATTTATTATTATTATTAGATTTACATTTCCCACCCCTTGGGCGCCCGTCCTTAATATTGTATATCTTTAGTATCGATTTGTAATAGTACGTCGGCGCTTTACGGCCCGTCATTTACCAAAAGGGCATAGTCTTATTTGTTTTATTATTATAATTATAGTAAGTCATCCGTTCTGTCTTACGAAATCCATTTTATTCCTTTGGGTAGTTTGGGCACGTGTTGCCGTCATTCGGGTCAACCGCACGGCAAGGAACCCGTTGACACAAACATAGATACATTATTTTAAAAAAAGTTAAATTAATCATTGATATATTTATAAAGTAATGTCATATTACATTTTTACATTTGTTAAGAATGATTTATTTTCTGATCAGAATAACAAAAAAAAATCAAAGAGCATCTACATTATATACAGATACATCGGTACATGTGTATGTCTTGTTTCTACTGATACCGTTGACATAAGAATGTCAACGTCGATTAGGTATTAGATACGAGGATTAAGCTATAGGTAACTTTTTTAACACGTGTAAAAAATAAACAAGGTTCAAAGACCACATTTTAAATATTTTTTTGAATATACATTTTATTTTAATTTAAATGACAGAATCGTCATTTATAACACTTTTAGTGATTAATAATAAAGAAAGGTGTAGTGAAATACGAAATTATTATAAAAAAAAATTATTATTATTACTACAGTAGAACCTCCATTATCTGGAGCAATGGTGGGGAAGGGTCACATGGAACAATGAAAAACACGGTTAATCGAGACTTTTTATTAAACGAATTATGAAAAAATTTATAATTTTATATCCATATTAAGTGTGTACGATATTATTTTCTCAATGACTGTTTTTGAAACGGCTATAGCAAATGATAAAAATACACTAAATAATATGAAACAAATTTGAAACAAACAGACTTGAAAATTCCCCATATATATTAATCATAACGTGATTAGATAAATATGATTGTTGAAGAACTTCTATTAGACTCTATAAATTTTAAATAACTCATATCTACCTGTGACATATTTTTATCGCTGAAAAATTCGTTTACGTTTTTCAATAATCTAAAAATACGTTCGTCCGACCTAATTAAAATTTTCAGACGAACAATTTCGAGCAACGATAGTTTTGGAAGACTGAGCATGGTTAATCGGGATCGCGGATAATCGAAATACGGTAAATCGGGGTTCAACTGTGTATAATTTTTTTTTAAGACTTTTTTTATTTAAATAAATAACCTATATCAAAATTAATATTTTTAATTTTATCCATATAAATATCTATATCATGTGTGTCCGTTAAAAATCGCTCCCCCCCCCCCCGTTATCTCGGTCTGGATCCGCCCCTGCAACTGGTT